AGATGTGTATAAGAGACAGATATATACCTTTGTACATAATTATATTAATAATAATATAAATTAATGAATATTGTTTCCAATACAGGTAACGTACAGTACAGCAATTTTATCTGATTAGAACATTCCAAAAAGTCTATTGTTGAATCCCGTATCATATTTTTACTATTTACTATCTGCTGATCAGTACTAGTGCTAATGATGATAGTGTTTTTAAAAAATATTTTCAGCATTATGATATTATATATACATGTACTATTATTATATATCATTCGATTGATACTTTCAGAGATAGTACGGATGTTGAATATCGGTATTTGACGGAAATATTTATGTGCAATGTTTATGATATCGTAAACAGTTCCCGCCTCAAAGCAAAATTGAATTTTAGCATATTTCAGAAAATGGTAAGTAAATGAAAAACACTGACGTCCTATGTTAGATTTAGAGGCAAAAGATATTAGATGGTAGATTATCACATATATTCTTATATATTTATCGGCAAGTGTTATAATTTAAAGTTATATAGAAGATAACTAAATATTTAATCAAGTTAATTATTTTTTTCAAATACGCCTTCAATAAAAGGTTAGAATGGAATAATAATCGCATCAATTGAAACCTATTAAGCAAAAGAATGTACCCATCTCATAAAGATCGCTTGAGCAAAAATTAGGCGCTGCACGCATGAAGAACTTTGTGGCGGAACATCCAGGAAACTCCCTGGTAACATGGTGTGTCTAATTTTGTTTGTGACATAAATCTATTTTTCTCGTTCTTCAAAAAATTTAGTTTCCTACAATTTTTGCATAAGCCACAAATATGTTTTTATAGAAAATTTCAAGAAACCCGCAGAACTAAAAAAAATGAATATATGCTTTCAAAGTGCTAAGTGAAGTATATTTGACTATTTGTGGTGATTAAGTCGAATTCTACCATAATTATATATTTCTATAGGATATATTATACACCGAAAATGAAGCTGTTGACAAAGAGCCAGTTTGCCTATTTTTCAACGAAGCACAATTGTAAGATTTTTATTTTTTTCTTGAATCATGGAGGAAATATATTAAAATTTAAAACACTAAATGGGTATAATTGTTGTAAATGAAGTAGGCCTAAGCAATAAGTAAATTAATGTATAATATTGTCATACGATTTTGACTCAATGAAGGACCTGGACTGATGAAGGTGTGAAAACCACTTACCATTCTCAAGACAAAGTATCTTGCTCTTCTGACCATATTACCAGTTTCAGCGTATTGATGAAAGTTACTAAGGCAGAAGTATGTATTCATTCATGTATTTCATTATCAATTCTTTTCTTTATGTACACACAGTACATCAAATGCATTTTGTACATACATAGCAAAGCCGGTTAAATAACCTTTTTTTATATAAGTCTGACATACATATAGGCCTACATATATAACAATATCCAGTGTTTGTCAAACAGACTACTGTAGTAAAAAGTCATTAAAAGTCATAATGAAAATGATAATTTACAGTGGTGTTCAAAGTAATCTTTGTACGTTAGAAAACTAAAATTGGTGTCAAAAATGTTATCAACCACGTTATAAAGATCATTGTCAGCTTATGTTGTAGCTAGTCCTACATTTGACATTGTGTGGAGAGCATTACATTTTAAACTTCATGTTTAACAAAATGTATTTGTTAAAGGCATAAAGCAGTGCCTTCTTTAAAAAAAGTTTGCCCTTCTCTTGTGTAATATTCGCTTAATACTTATAAATAGGCTTATTTAAATATACTACTGCCAATGTAGTTTACTTCGCAGAAACGAATTTTATGAGACTGTTTCCTACAGTACCTAATTGCTCAATCCGATTAGTGGCTGATGTGACGTTTCCTGCCATGAAACTTTCCTATCGTTCTTATATCAACACTTCTTTTATACTTTTAGTTGTAAAGCTTTATCAACCTGAACGTAAACAGAATAATTTTGCCAAACCAAACAACAACAAACGTTAGGCGAATAGTAGGCCTATATCAGATTTTTTTTAAAAAAAGGACACACATTAGCAGACTCTCTTTGAATGTAGCTCCAAATCCAATTGAGGTTGGTTATTTTTGAATGTTTAATGATATTCATGGTTTTCAATTACATAGCCTATACAGGACAACAAAACTTTGAGCCTGATGTCGAAAGTGTGCGTTTCTCTTTCACTCATCGCTTTAGTTCTTTCTCTCATCGTTTACTGCTCATTTCCGTAAGTTATTTTTTTAGTAATTTTAAATGGTGATTTTAAAATGTTAACACACTACGACAACAAAACATCGCATTGTAGTAAACAGTATATATACATTTATTTGTCCAAAAAGAAGCACTGATTTTTAGTAAACCAAAGTAAGAGAGTAAACAAATGTATTACCTGAGAAAACCAAGTTGATCAAATAAAAATGATATGAAGAATATTACTAATAATTGGAACTCAATAGCATAACTTATTTCTTTATTCAATGCCTTAAACTCTAATTCAACATGCATTTAAGTTTAATTTTTAATGTGTTTATCTAATGTTAATGTATTTCTAAATAAAATGAGTCTCATTGTTGGAAAATTAAAGATGTCAGTATTTCAAATGTAGGTGTATGGGAACTAGGTACTGAAAAATCAGCATCAAAGATGAACTAATTTGTACAAAATAGAAAGACTAGAAATACAGAATATGCAGAGAGAACACTTTCATAATTAGAAAATTCACTTAAAACGTGAGATATTTTAAAATATAAATAACAAATTATTCAAAAACATTTTGGTGAATATCTCAAAATGACTTCACCAACGATGCGTCTCATTTTGTGGTGACCTCACAATATTTTCTTGTGATTAATTAATGAACCATTACTATATAACTCTTACGTATTATTTATATAGTATTACATATATATATATATACATATATATATATATATATATATATTTAATTCAATTCAATTTCTAACAGCATTTTATATTATGTAAATAAAAAGTAGTCAAACCTGATAAAGTAGAGGGTAAAATAGCATAGCTTGAAATGTAATATATGTACATATATATACAATTATATAAATATTAATAGCACTGCTTAAATAAGAACATATTGTAGGGATTTTTCATGCCCTCCCAAAAAAAAAAATAAAAAATGGGAATTTTGCTCTCGCTTCGAGCCGACATCATCCATCGCCCACAGTGGGCGATAGATGATCACTGATATGATGTCGTAATTCTATATCGCCCTTCAAAAGCAAAACAATAATTTCTTGATAAATGTGTGCGAGGGAGAGTGTCTTATCTTTAGACCATCGTGACCCATGCGCAGATCTATACAATTGGCTTTAAGCTCACACTGAAATCGTGTTTAAACGAGAAACTGGCTTGTATGTACGCTGCCGTATTTAGGAAGGACACATAACATAACATTGGAGTATAAATATTTATAGGAAAATACAACATAGGCCTATGCATATTTACTTGTTTACCTTTAGGGAACTATGGAAATCACTCCGCGTCTCAATCCACAAAAACCTGATCGTTAACATGATTTTGATGCAATTACTGTTTATTTTGGGGATCGACAAGACAGGACACAAGGTAAGTAGGTATATCACTGTAATACATAGATTCTCATATCATAATTTTATTATCAGATTCAGATTATTCTTTATCTGTATCCATTTGAATTGTTTCCCCCAACAAAGCATGACATTAATAAACTAGGACAAATATAAACACGGTATAAATATATTACAGACTACTATTACAATATTATAAAGGTGTTTAACAATTATTGACTTAAAATATCGCTATTCGCAATTCGCAATCCTTGTTCTATAATTGAATAAAATAGAAACTAAAATGCATTTATTTGTTCGTTTGTTCATTCCTTCGATTCTTCATTTGATTGCTATTCTTTTGTTCGTTTCTCCGTCCACCCATCCTCCTAGAAAGACATGTGCTGTAAAATCATTAAATTATACGATGTACGAGTATCTATCAGGCCTACGTACATTCTGCATTATCCATCGAAGCGTTTCAATCATTTACTTTTCAGATCACATGTGCAGTTGTTACCGTTCTTCTTCACTTCACTGCACTGAATACTTTCACTTGGATGTTCGGTGAAGCGGTATACTTGCTTTTCAAAGTCTCCACGTCGGCCCCTAGCCAGCACAACCGACTTCGAAATTACATGACAGTGTGCTATTGTATTCCCCTTATCGTCGTTGTCATTTCTTCGGCTGGATTCACATCCCGATACAATCATGATAAAATGTAAGTTACTAATTAATTACTAATGCTGGAGACACAGGGGTTGTTCCAGTAGTAGAGAGATTCCCTACCCGTCGGGCAAAATAAGAAACAATTTGTCATGGAGAAAAACAAATCGATTAAATAAGCCTTTGAAACTCTAGTCATAGTTTTCGGAGGTTCGTCCCCGGGACCACATTCGATAGATTTTGAGTGACGCCCAACACACCCTCTCCAATCACTGGGGAACTTGGACACTAGGTCTGGCAAATCGTGGTGCCACCTCACTAGCGAATTGTATTGTTAAAATGCATGAACGTATGAGTGAGCCCGAAAGGCATCCCCACAAAAATAATACGGTATATGGTATAGGATTTTGTAATGTTAAAGGATAACAAAAGTGACATTCCTATGGATGGCGTACACATATTCTTTATCTTAATTACTTCAAAAAAGAGACAGTAACAATGTTTATAACATTTTTTGACTATTTCCAGTTGTTGGCTTAGTCAGGAAAGAGGAATGATATGGGCATTCGTAGCGCCAGCGATTTGCATTGCTATGGTAAATACCGTTTGAGTAATACTAATAGCTTACAAAAAAAAAGTTTGATACCTCAAATGATTAATTTAGTATTTTTTTGTAAATGTTTTAACCACTAAATAATTTGATTTTAATAATAGGCCTATTATTAATAATATCTTACAAAAGAAGGTTAGTGTAACGTTTTTGTAATAATGCGTATGATTCACATTCTCTTCTACAAATACATTTACCTTGTTAATACTGTACACATTTTTCAATGGATTTTTCTCAAGGTTAACACTGGAATAATGTGCGTTGTTTTGAGAATTATCTACAAACGAGCCGGTAATATGGTAGGAAAACCAGCGGCAGAGAGGAACAAGTTTAAACAATTGAGGTAATTGTAAAACAACGTGGATAAGTAATTATAACAGTGCTCGAACAGGAAAAAGTGCTCGAATAAAAGTACGATTACACAAAGGATAAACGTAAAAACTTACACTCATTTTAATATATAATATCTGTCTCTTATACACATCTAGATGTGTATAAGAGACAGATGCATAATCAATACAGGGTGAACTAAAGCAGAGTACTTGGTTGCCTAAAAATGAATATTATATCCATGGTTACATTATAATTTTGCCATTATTTTACATATATATTATTTTGAATTAACATTTTTATGCATGTAAGAGTGTTGTGCAAATGTGTCTATCCCTTCCTCCCTGTGGAATGTTTGTACACTTGTAAACATTTTGATAATGTTGAATGATCCCTAACGTAAATTTTTCTGGCCTAGATAAAAAAAAATAATGAAAAAGTTCCAACGAGTGGAAAACAAATTTATAGATGGAATCTTACTTGGGTAACTGCTTGGAAAGCTCTGCATCATTTCCACCCGATTCTACCTAATAGAAACTAATCACTTAGGTAGAATTGGCTGACCATTTTCACTTTTCATCATAACACCTCTGATCATAATATGTATAGCTTATACGTATTCATATAATGATTTGATACTGCCTCGGGTAACCATTTTTGTTTTCAAACTATAATTTTCAATTGAAAAATAGAAAAAAAAAATGTTGCCATTCCTAAAACAAAAATCTATTATATACTTTAATTTTCATCTAATTTTTAACCATGCTAAATTTATTCCAGTTCACACTTCACAAGGCCACTTGTTTTGAATGTATAGGCTTACGGCTATATAACACTTCTTCGCTATTGACAAATATTGATGCATTGTATGAGAAAAAAAATCGTACATTGTCAGGATAAAATACAAATAGGACCTTCTTATCTTATTTCCAAAAGTCTGAACACCTTAAACTAATATTAAAAAAAAGTCAAACATTTTACTTCTACCAGTACAGTTGGTCAGGTTCAACATAACCACCTTCGACAGACCACAAGTTAATTGATTAGGTTTTGAATAAGAAAACAGGCTAAATTCAGTTTCTCTTGACATACGGTAACTCAGGAACCACATCTGTTAACTCTGGCGTGAACATTTACTGATAGTTTACATTATTTTCTTCTCTATAGCATAGGAATATAATGATTAAGAAGGATGCATTTTTTTTGCCAAGCCGCGGCCCAGCCGCACCATTGACCAACATACCACAACCTAGCAAGAAGATTACCCCCATGTTCTGAAGATATATAGTAATTTGACATCATTATCTGTTCTGACAGTGACAAAATTTCATTGTATACAATAAATTAAATAGTATTCTATTAAAGAAATAATACCGTACACTTTTGTTTTCACCCAACCTCATTTATTGTTTTCTTTCCCTACCATAATTCAACCGACCACGGATCAGCCACACATGTCATAGCTTTATTCCCCTTCCAAAAGCATTCACGCACTTGCATTTCTTTCCCACTACTGATAATTTTTGTAAAGCCATAAATCCATAAATACTAAAATACAACAATGCTGTGAGTAACAATCTTTCTCTTGAATAAATCATGTTTTGAATTTAAAGTGTTTTTATTGTTTTGCTTCACCACAGCCCTGACAATAGTTTAAAAGATATTTTTATAAAAAAAATTTTTTTATATTAGATTACTACTACAGAACATCATTAAAATTGCCCTATACCTTACCGGGCCCTTGGTGGTCCCCTGGACCCCCGCCTCATTGCAATTATATATTATATTTGTTGCAGCCTCACAACCTGACCACTTCAATACTCGTAGAAAGGCCATGGAAGGTTCTCTGTAAATTGTTCTGTGATACCATCATTCCTTCATGATTGGTTACACAATCACATAAGCCTCATTTCAAACTCTGATTTTATTATACAGAAAAACTACTCGTGGTACATTAATGTTGCTACCACTCATGGGCACCGCATGGCTCTTCGGGCCGTTTGCTTTCAATTCGGATACTGTATTCCTTGATTACGTCTTCAACTTGATGAACGGATGTCAAGGGGTCTTCATATTCCTTATTTACTGCGTCTTTGATAATGAGGTAAATTCAGTTATTTAATTGTTTTCAGTTATTAGCGAGCTTTCGAAATTGGCGAGGCGGGGAGCTGCGACGGGGAATTCAGTCAACCATGAACGTCGTACTATGCACTTCCCGTCTCAACATCAAAGCTGTTTCGATTTACAGGACGACGCACTCCCTCGTATCGCGTGGTCAATTATGCAGGCCCCCCAGCGAGCACTTATTTATAAAACTCACGTTGCCGCAGTCACACAACAAAACTTAAAGCCCGTTGTCAAATCCACACAACGAACGACTTCCCCATGTATTCACATGCGCAGTACGGTTTCACGCTCCACTGCCCGTCGTAGAACGCCGCGTCGTCCAATGTACACTGCTTTTTTTGTAATATAATTAGTAACTATAACGTCAGCCTTTGGGACTGTTGCCTTTTTGGCATTCTTAATTTCTATTAGGACTATTATCTATTCTGGGGAAAAAGATATTATTAAAGCTATCCACACTATCACAATTCATATAATGAACAGATTGCTTCGTGATAGCGCAACATTTAGTTATGTATTTAAAAAATTAGCCATTCAGCACGTCATCAACCCATGAATCCATCAAGAACAAAATGTCGATATGAAACACAAAGTAGTAATCAGAGCAAAGATCGTGTATGATGTTGATGTTGTATTCAGCCATGAAATGTCCCTGTAGTGGGATGAATAAAGTCCCCATCATTGTATGCTTGCTCTGTGTCTCCAGTTAAAAGTTGCCATAGTCTTTAGGCGTTGGTGGTGCTCTTTCAAAATAACCCGATAAAATGGTCTATCATCTCTATACGTTTATCAATTGGTCATTTAACTACGAAGGTTTGTATGCATACTTTTCTCATAATTTACCGTAGAAAATATTATTTTATTACAGACAAAGGTGTGTCTCAAAAAACGATTCAAGATAAATGAAGTAAATCCGCAGACGGAAATGACGCAAAATCAGTGAATATAATGCATACTTATTGCTTAAGTATTCAATATACTGCACATAATTATAGTATTCAAAGTAAAATGTACTATGTTTTTTGATGTAAACACTGCGTCTAAATAAAACTTTATGTGGTAATAATCTGTTTCTGTGTTTTTAACATGTCAAAAACACATTATGGGCCTGCAAGTATCTAGTTCGGGATCCAGCTTACTGAGAATTAATGAAGTATCTGACCATATAGTCCATAATGCACTAGTCTATGTTAGAAATATTAAGACGTCAGGTACCTTATGTGTTTAAAAATTGTATTTTGAATGAACGATTGGAGCATTAGTAATGCCAAATATATGTTTTAGTTTGTAAAATAGCTTGCGAATAAATGAATTGTGTATAAGAGACAGTATATATATATAATGTCAATAGGGGTTTAACTTTTATGATGGAGCATGTAGAAATAAACAACAAAGGCTTGGCCTAAGGCCTAAGGTAGTCATGAAAAATTGTAAGTTTGGTATTAAGTGTAAACATATTCTAGATGTTTTACGTTAAATAAATAATAATAATAATAATAATAATAATAATAATAATAATAATAATAATAATAATAATAATAATAAATAATGATGTCATCTTATTAAGGCCAACTCAAACAGCGTCGGTCGACGCAGCCCGACGCGATTTGTTGTCGCGTCGGGTCTGTGTGAGTTGAACGCAGACGCGATGGTGTGCGTCGGCTGCAGTCGCGTAGTAGAATATTAAACGTGTTTAATATTTCTCACGACGGCTTAAGACTGTCCCCGACGATAAATCGGGTCGGGCTGCGTCGGCCGACGCTGTCTGAGTTGGCCTTTTGGTTTGTATGTGTAACCATGAATCTAAAATGTATATAATAGGCTATACTGTATAGCTTTATCGTGTAATGGACCTTTCTGCTAAGCCGGCCCTACCCATTGGACATTGTTGCTAAGGTCCCCCTTAAACAACGGTGTTAAAACATATGGTACGCAAACATGTGCGTTTGTGGGACAACACGCGTGGTTCTTAGACACGAGCGTACTCCTAGGCCTGTTCTGATTGGTCACTTGTTAAGTTTGAATGACACCCCGGAAATGTCCATTAAGCATAATGTGTTTCTTAATATTATCGTTATTGTTCTGATATTCGCTATTCATTTAATAATTTTTTAACAATTAAAGGAATTACTATTATGCATAAAACTTAACAGAAATACATAATTTAAAAACAAAACTAAATCACAAAGACAAAAATCGTTAGGATATGTATCAGAACAAAGAAATCGTTATACTTTGAGCATTATTATTTTCCAAATTGATTGCGTTCTATAGATATTTTTACGCTGCTTACAGATAAATTGTAACCGATAAAGAACTGAAAGCAACGTTTACAATAACAATAAATAAGTGGTACAAAAGTGAATACTGTATAGCCTTAATATTTACATATACAACAATGTCTAGTTTCAAGTAAATAAGTTTATAAATTATTATGAATAAACATTAACCTAATAAATTGGTTGAAAATTGTTCAGTAATAGTGAAATGCCATTTTGGTATAAATATATCATACTTAGTACCGTAATTGAAATAATATTATAGTAGTATGGTATAACGCTTCACAATTTTCCTTAAAGATGTACTATCAGTTGAAATAGAAAAAAAGGGTATCTCAAATATTCAAATGAAATGTTGAATAGCTGATTTGAAAAGATCAAATGAATTATTAGCTTCCAACGAGAAACAGATCGAGAAAAAGGAGTTTTCACCAATTTAAATATTAGATTTCACTACAAAAATCCCTAAATTGACTACTAGTGAATTTAAGGATTTATGCAAAAGAATACAGGAAAATATATTTCACTGTCCGAAAATTGACGGGATTTTTAAAAATAAGTTAATAACTTATTTAACTACCGTAAAACCTCGAATTGAAGCCTCATGGGCTTAATATCGAGAAGAAGTTCATCTCTAATTGAAGCTTCCTCTTTGTTTTGCAAAATTATCCTCAAAAAGAAGCTCATGGGCCTCTTTTCAAGATAGCATACTTCTTTTCGAGATAGTACAGTACATATCACAGTACTGTGCAAAATAAATTGATACAGATTGATGTTACAGTGGCCCTATTTATTGCTTTATAATACTAATTCCCAAAATTTACAGCATTCATTTTGAAAAGAAGCCTGCCTTTTGACTTTGCAAAAGTAACCTCGAAAAGGCCATCCAAAGTTAGCAAAAAAAAAAAAAAAAAACACCTTCAAGGGCTTAAATTCGGGGTTTTACGGTATACAAATTAAGCAATTTACATGTGTAATTAAAATTTTAAATTTGTTTTGCCTCAGTACTTAAAGTACATCTAGGCCTATGGCTAGATGAAGATAATTGCTCATTGTTGTGGTGCTGTACTATTTAGTTGTCCGCATTTCATATTGTAGTCATACTGTATTTAATTAGGCCTAACATCTACAGTTGAAAAGTCTCGACAGGCTTTACTAGGTATTTTGATAATGCTCATGAATAATAAAATGATAATCAGTAAGAATATGGTTTTGGGAATAAAACCATGCATTGGTTGGTAATTGTTTCGACGATTTGGTGAGATTGTGCTGACTGACCGTTATGAGGAGCATGCGAAAAATTGTTCAAAATTTAAAATAAAAATGAGGATATAAAGAAAATAATTATATTCAAATTTTAAGTCTCAGAGTGCAATTTTCGGCCATCTAGAGGTGCCATAATCAATTTTTCTGACCTTAGCCCCAACCATGGTGAAGCTGAAGTGAAACAGATCCTCCATCTGCGAAAGTACCTTCCCGGGCCCCTTCTGTGTTGAATTCCTGGATCCGCCACTGATATTATATCAATTTGCATTGTTTACAGCTACAGTTTATATCAGAAAAATATTGATAATATCTGGGATTTTTAAAAATAATTGAATAATATCTTGTGATTTTAAAGAAATTGTATATCATGCAATAGGCCCTGTCTCTTATACACATCTAGATGTGTATAAGAGACAGGTATGGTATAACGCTTCACAATTTTCCTTAAAGATGTACTATCAGTTGAAATAGAAAAAAAGGGTATCTCAAATATTCAAATGAAATGTTGAATAGCTGATTTGAAAAGATCAAATGAATTATTAGCTTCCAACGAGAAACAGATCGAGAAAAAGGAGTTTTCACCAATTTAAATATTAGATTTCACTACAAAAATCCCTAAATTGACTACTAGTGAATTTAAGGATTTATGCAAAAGAATACAGGAAAATATATTTCACTGTCCAAAAATTGACGGGATTTTTAAAAAAATAAGTTAATAACTTATTTAACTACCGTAAAACCTCGAATTGAAGCCTCATGGGCTTAATATCGAGAAGAAGTTCATCTCTAATTGAAGCTTCCTCAAAAAGATTATCCTCAAAAAGAAGCTCATGGGCCTCTTTTCAAGATAGCATACTTCTTTTCGAGATAGTACAGTACATATCACAGTACTGTGCAAAATAAATTAAAAATGAGCTTGGTTTATACAGTAGTTTAGGTAATTTAATGCTGGTTAACACACTCCATGATACAGATTGATGTTACAGTGGCCCTATTTATTGCTTTATAATACTAATTCCCAAAATTTACAGCATTCATTTTGAAAAGAAGTCTGCCTTTTGACTTTGCAAAAGTAACCTCGAAAAGGCCATCCAAAGTTAGCAAAAAAAAAAAAAAAAAAAAACACCTTCAAGGGCTTAAATTCGGGGTTTTACGGTATACAAATTAAGCAATTTACATGTGTAATTAAAATTTTAAATTTGTTTTGCCTCAGTACTTAAAGTACATCTAGGCCTATGGCTAGATGAAGATAATTGCTCATTGTTGTGGTGCTGTACTATTTAGTTGTCCGCATTTCATATTGTAGTCATACTGTATTTAATTAGGCCTAACATCTACAGTTGAAAAGTCTCGACAGGCTTTACTAGGTATTTTGATAATGCTCATGAATAATAAAATGATAATCAGTAAGAATATGGTTTTGGGAATAAAACCATGCATTGGTTGGTAATTGTTTCGACGATTTGGTGAGATTGTGCTGACTGACCGTTATGAGGAGCATGCGAAAAATTGTTCAAAATTTAAAATAAAAATGAGGATATAAAGAAAATAATTATATTCAAATTTTAAGTCTCAGAGTGCAATTTTCGGCCATCTAGAGGTGCCATAATCAATTTTGCTGACCTTAGCCCCAACCATGGTGAAGCTGAAGTGAAACAGATCCTCCATCTGCGAAAGTACCTTCCCGGGCCCCTTCTGTGTTGAATTCCTGGATCCGCCACTGATATTATATCAATTTGCATTGTTTACAGCTACAGTTTATATCAGAAAAATATTGATAATATCTGGGATTTTTAAAAATAATTGAATAATATCTTGTGATTTTAAAGAAATTGTATATCATGCAATAGGCCTATACATTTAGAGAAAAATGCCAAAGTGAAGAACAGGCCTACAAGACAGTCAGTATGTCTTCTTCATAACTAAAAGTTGGTAGAACAACCATGTGGTAAACAGAGGAACGTGTTTGCGAATTCTGTCATATTTTCCCTAGCATTTCTTACAAATTGTATAGAATTCAATTTAAAGGTTTAAAGGTTACTAAAGACTATTGCATTTGTACTTTGTTGTTATATCGTTGTTTAGCGAAATAGTCGTGCTATTGGATATTAATGAATAAAAAAATAGGAGTTATGAAAAATCCTTTTATATATATATA